GAAGTTGTACAATTTATGATAGAAATAAAGAATTTTAAAGTAAGTTTTGACTTGAATTTAATAATTTTTCTGAGGGCATGAAATGTCTTTTTATAATACTAACATTTGATTTTTGTTATTAGCTTGAATCTTAGGACTTGTGAAAATAAATTTACAGTGTTTTATAGTATAACTCTAACTTGATAACACTAGTATTTTTTCTTCTCCTAGAGTTAAGATGTAAGGGAAATGATAGTAATACTAGGACAGAAGTTATACTTTCACTTAACTGCAAATCCCTGTTTTTCCTAGAAGTTCTTAAGTTACTTCTCTAAGTTGTGGACTGTCTCATACCAATAGTATAAACTTGTATTTCCTTTTCAAGGATCTGTGTTGGCAGTATCGAGCCTAGAGATTTTCTTTTTTTTTCTTATGATTTCTGCTCATTCTGAATATTTACTTTCTTAACTTTAATCTTGTTCTCTGCCTATAAGATTTAAATATGTGAACAATACATGCCATTGCCTGAATGTTTTTAATTTCTTGACATATTTGAACATTTTTAGCATCAGTCAAGTATTTATTAAAAGCTTTCTGTTTTGCTAAGATTTATTGAGTATACAATTTCAACAATGAAATATATTCAATCTAGGATAGTTGTGGTAGAATAATTTAGAACAGCAATGTCCCTTTAGCCTTGAGCACTTACATTTCTCTTGTGTGTTTTTCTTTTGTTTGTTGTTGTTGCTGCCATATTTCAAAGAAAAAGGCAAGAGCAAATTCAGTTTTGTTTCTATTGGCCTTATTAGACTAAAGGTATTAGAAGGTTTAAATAAAGCAAAGGACCTATGTGTGTGTTGGTGAACACTTTATATAAGTTGTGTTTTATAGAAGTGACTAGGAAGGACTTTGGGAAAGCAAGTTACCTCAAAACTATAGAGGCAGGGTTCTACAGCAAAAGTTATCAAACATTTTCTTTTCTTTCTTTTTTTAAAATATATTTTTATTGGTTTCAGAGTGAAGGGGAGAGGGAGAGAGATAAAAACATCAATGATGGGAGAGAATCATTAATCAGCCCCACACTGGGGATTGAGCCTACAACCCAAGCATATGCCCTAACCGGGAATCGAACCATGACCTCCTGGTTCATAGGTTGATGCTCAACCACTCAGCCGTGCTGACCAGCCTCAAACATTTTCTTAAAGGGCAAGATGGTAAATATTTTAGGCCTGTGGGCCATACAGTCTCTGTTGCATCTACTTGGCTCTCCTGTAACTACACAGCTACTCAATTCTGTTGTAGTGTGAAAGTAGGTGAATGAACAATAGGTAGTAAATAAATGAATGGACTTGGTTAGGTTCCCAGTAAAACTTTATTTACGAAAACTGGTGGCTGGTCTGCTAACCCATATTCTATAACATCCTAACAAACAATATTCATAAGCAATTATGCTTGGGGCACATAATTTCTATAATTATGTGCCCCACAAAAACATCTTTTATTGTTGTTGAAGATAATTTGTAAAATCATGGAGAACCAAGGACTTCCTGTTTTAAAATGGCCTAGTAGATCAATACTGAAATATTTTTTTGGTAAAGCAATTTGATGTTTGGAATTTCCTTTAAGATATTCTGTAGGGAGAAAATTGGGTGGATATAGATGAATGAAGTTTGACAAAATTTTGATAAATACAGAGCAGAGATGATGGTTACATGGAAGAAATTCATCATACTGTATGCTCTTCTGTGTATGTTTGAAAGTGTCTATATTTTAAAAATTACTACTTTAAGAAATAATGGCCCAGCAAAGGGCCCTTTTCTTGAAATCACCTTACTATAAGAAGGAGAATAAAAAACAGAAATGCAAGCTTGATTTTCAGCACAACCAGAGAGATCTCTGCAATCCCAAAGCACAATATATGAAGAAAGGCTGCCAGATTCAGTGAAGGTCAGATGGGTGTGTGAGAAGACCGGGTGAGATGACATCTGTGGTTACAGATCCCAACAAAGCCAAGAGAGCTTAATTCTCCAAAAGAAGTGGCTAGCCTCAGGCTTCTCCAAGCAGCATTCAACAGTAACATTTCACCATCAACATCTTCAAAGAAAAGTTAATTTAGGAATTTTCTACCAGTCCAAATACTTGTTCAATCAATATAAGGGCAAATACAAACATTTTTAACATACCAATGCTAATTTAGCTCTTCTGAGCCCTACTTCTATAGGATGAAGTTTACTCAACGAAGAAATGAAAGGAGAAACTACAGTTAAAGTGTAGGTAGTAAGCAGAGTCCACGGATTCATAAAATTAAGAGTAAAACAAATGTGAAGATTATGTTTTACAGAGCAGAGTATGAATGTTTAAAACTGACAATGTAATAATGTCATAACTAACAAAAATTGGAAGAATGAAGGACAGAAATGATGTAAAGTGGTACAAACCTCATGTTTTATAATAGGCTGTCAAAAGATATTTAAAATCAGTAAACCCAGTAAAAAAGATTTGGAGGTAGGGAGGTATGTAAATAGATAGATGATTAATAGATTAGGTAGGTGGATAAACACGAAGAAAAATAATGTGTAAACTAAATTGGATGGTAGAGGAGAAGATAAAGAAACACAACTATTAAGTTCATCATTGCTCATAATAGAAACTATATATATAAAGGGGGGACTAATTGATAGGATTGCCATATAAATTGAGTGGCCAGACTAGCTAGCAAAGTATAGAAAAATGAAATTTGAGCAAAGATTTGAAGGAAGTGAGGGAGCTTGATGGTTATCTGGAGAAACAGTATTCTAAGCAGACATAATGGTTGTTGCAAAGGTCCTGAAGCAAAAGTGTAGCTGGTGCATGGCACGCAAGAAACAGGAAAGAGAAGCTAAAGCAGAGTGATTGAGAGAGGTAGGAAATGAAGTCAGAGAGATAATATTGGACCTTAAAGGCAGTTAAAAGAACTTAGACTTTTACTCTGAAATAACTATTAACAAAAAAGTATATCTTCCGTATTACCAGAAGAAATACATACATGCATAACTAAAAACAAAGCAAGGACTGGCCATTTAATAAAGATGATAAAGCAGCAGCCTGGCTAGTGTGGCTCAGTTGGTTGAGAGTTGTCCCATGCACCAAGAGGTCACCCCTCCAATTCTTGGTCAGGGTCCATGCCCAGGTTTCTAGCTCAATCCCCAGAGTGGGGCGTGCAGGAGGCAGCCCATTGATGTTTCTCTCTCATAAATGTTTCTATCTCTCCCTCCCTTTCTCTTTCTCTCTCTGAAATCAATAAAAAATATATTTTTTTAAAAGATAAAGCAGCAATAAAAATAGAAAGCATAAACATTTTATAACAAAATGTGATGACTGAAAGGAGATTAAATATATTAAATCCCCAGAGTGGGGCGTGCAGGAGGCAGCCCATTGATGTTTCTCTCTCATAAATGTTTCTATCTCTCCCTCCCTTTCTCTTTCTCTCTCTGAAATCAATAAAAAATATATTTTTTTAAAAGATAAAGCAGCAATAAAAATAGAAAGCATAAACATTTTATAACAAAATGTGATGACTGAAAGGAGATTAAATATGTTATATTACTAAATATAAATAGGCTAAACTTTCCTAAAAAATAAATCCAAGATTAGGTCACAAAGAAAACCATTCAGAGTCATTACTAAAACAAAGTAACTGAAGAAAAATAACAAAATTAAAAGACAGGCAAAGACATAACTTGCATATGCAACCAAAAAATGCATGATTGTAATATTGGACAAAGCAGTTCAAAAAGCATTGCATTAGGAAAAAGGACAGGCAAAATATGTATAGAGAAAACCTTAATATGTCTCTCAGGGTCACAAAGACTTAGCTAGAAAGGCTGCTTAGGTAAGAAGGTTCTTGGGTAAGAAGACTCAAAACCATAGATAACATTCTGTAGTCAGTTTCCCTTGTGTTGATGTGGGGGAAAATTAACATGGAGTTAATGTGATCTCTGCTTCAAAACAAAACAAAAAACTAGCTAACATTTATTGAACACTTAACTCTATGCCAGGCATTGTTCTAAATGCCTTATACACATTACTCATTTAGTCCTCCCAGTGACTTTATGTGGTAGAAGCTAGTATTACTCTTTGTCCATTTTTCAGTAAGAAATTGCATAAAAGCTTGCTCAAGGTTGCAGTTAGAGTACTTTACTAAATCAGAATAGGAGGAACTCAGGCATGATGATTACAGATTCTGTGCTTCTAACCACTGTGCGATATTGCTTCCCAACCTAACAGGATTGTGTGTGTGTGCATGAGTGTGTAACTCGATAAACTGACTCTGAAGTTCATATAGAGGAAAAAAGTAAGGAAGAATAGCCAGAAAAATTCTTAAGGGGAAACTAGCCCAGCCTACCAAATATTAAAATATATTATAAAGCTAGAATGTTAAAAGAATGTGGTTACTAGAACAGGAGAAGACAGGTTATTAGAATAGGAATTCAGAAAAAGATCCAAATTCATATACTTATTTAGAAAGTTATAAAGGTAGCATTACAAATACAGTAAGAGGGAGAATGAATTATTCAATAAATGGGACAGCTGTGTTATCATGAGAGGGAAATTGATTGGGTTTCTACTTTTTAACTTTGACTAAGATTAATTCCAAATGAATCAAATATTTAAACCTGAAAAATTGGAAGAAACCATGGGAGAATTTTACAATATTCTCAAAGTAGAAAGGCCTTTAAGATATATGACATAGGCCTCTTAGAGAACAAATTGATAAATTTGACTCTAAAACATGAAAATTGTATGCATACAAAAACACCATTAACAAAGCTAAATAAAAAATGGGAAAATTTTGTAACATTTTTTTTACAAAGGTCAAATTTTCTTAATCTTAAAAAACTTTTACAAAATAATATTCAAAGACCAAGAATCAAATTGAAAAAAAAAGAGGCAAAGGATGTAAATACTCAGTTCACAAGAAAGCAAATACAAGTAACACTTAGATAAAAATATATATAAATCCTCAGTTGCAATATAGAACCATGCAAATTATGACTATGGTGAAATACTGTTCACCTGTGACATTGCAAAATAAAAAGGTTTGATAATACATTGTTTAGAAGGGTGTTGGGAACCAGATACTCATTTAATGAACAAGAGTGTAATTTGTAGATATGAAAATGCATATAACCTCCATGAAAAACAGTTTGGCAATACCTTCCAAAATTTAAAGTGCACATAACTTTAACCTAGAACTTCCTCTTGAAGTATTTTATCCTCAAGTATCTGTGCCCATTTGCAAGGATATTCACTCTAGTATCATGTATTTTAATAATAAAAGATTGTCAGTAGGCATTTGTAAAGATGTACCATGTAATTCCATTCAGTCACTAAAAACCAGTGAGTCAAGAACCAAACAGATGAGTAATGCGACTGCCACATGCTACCAGTTGCATTTTTTAAAACTTCCACAAATACATTCATAGATGCACAAAGTTACATATGTATAAAGCTTTCTTTGGTAGGATACCTAGATTTAACCTTCATAGAGGAGAATAAGTAGCTGGGCTACAGGGATAGGAGGAAGGCCAATATTAAGTGTAAAAGATGTAATTTATACATATAATTTTAATCAATTTCCGAGAGGAAGGGAGAGGGAGAGAGAGATAGAAATATCAATGATGAGAGAGAATCATTGATATGCTGCCTCCTGCATACCCCCTACTGGGGATTGAGCCCACAACTCAGGCATGTGCCCTGACCTGTAATCAAACTGTGACCTGGTTCATAGGTTGATGCTCAATCACTGAACCATTGCCAGCTAGGCTAAAAGATGTAATTTTTTACTTAGTTTTTGTACTTTTGAATTCTATATCATGTACTTGTCTTATTTATTCAAAAGAAATAAACATCTATATATACAAAAGGCTAACATGCTACGTGTCCTTCCCACCTTCGGACTGGTTGCTATGATGCGCAATGACCATCAGGGGGCAGATGCTCAATGCAGGAGTTGCTGTGATGCAAACTAGCTATTTACAGAGAAACAACAGTGCAGACCTGGCCGACAAAGCAACACTCGGCTTCCCCCAAGTGGAACACAGGCCCCGCCACCACCCTGGAACTACAGCCCACCAAATCACAGTCGATGCTGCTGAGACCCCATGGCCAGTCCAGAAATGGTCGCTGTGGGCGCCGGGTAATGATGTCACATAGCAACCCCTGGCTTCCTCTCCCTAGTGACTAGCCTCCTTGCAGTTTCTTCAGCCCAGGAACACAACTTGCTTTATACCCAGGTGGAAACATTTACACTTTAACCAAATGTCTGTGAAGTGTTTTCCTGTTCTTCATCTCATTTGATCCTCACAGAAGTCCTGGAGTAGGTAGATAGGAGACTTGGTGGAATCCTATTTTCTTTTCATTAGCCGGAAAACAGATTTAGAAAGCTTAGAAACTTGACCCGACTGAAAAGAAGTAAGAAATGGTGGACCTTGAAAATGACTTCAGGTTTTCTCAATGCGCAGAATATACAGAATATAGTCAAACACTGCTGCAGTTAAATATTTTACCCTTTGTTCTCCGTGCGTGATCTACAATAATCATCTGCTTCATGTTGATATTTACTGCTGTGTTGTTGACAATTACCTGAAAGAGAAGTTGGGGTGCTTCACTGGGCTGGAAAAAGTTTAGCTAAATCAGAAAGCAGGTCTAATTAAGCAAGTTTGCTCTATATCTTTAAAGCATGACTCGCGCATGCACAATACATATAAAGCTCTCACTGGCGCCAATCGCACGCGTGTGTTTCCATCTGTCATTGTTGATCGTGAATTTGGTTGACACTTCTATTATAGAGAAAGGGCGAATAGTGATATTAAAATATTTCTTCTAATTAATTTCCTTTCAGTTAATTTGCATGAATTCGTGCACCAAGTCACTAGTTTTAAATAAATTAATATTGCTAGGAAATACTATATCCTCGCCCCTAATGCTATAGTTGAGCAAACTGACACACAGAGAGGACCAGACCAGGGCCCTGAATGTGTATAGAGATGATTAGCAGTATTGAGACCTGGATTCTAATCCTGATTCTGATATATGACTCTTAGTAAGTTATTTTCCTTCTGTGAGTCTCACTTTTCTCATTTGTAGAATAAGGAGTAAGACTCACCTTACTTTGTCTTCCATCATTAGTTTTCAAACTAATTCATAGAGTCCAAGGATTTTTTTCAATCCCTTTAGGGGTCTCAAGCAGGTGGTTGGGATTGTAGTGGTTGCCAGCACACCTGTCTTTAACCAGAGCATCCCTGGACCTCTGAGTAAGAGTGAGTTTAACTAAATGTTTTGAAACTTTTTTAATAGTCTGAAAGTCACAGTCCACAGTAAAGTCACCATATATATTAACTTAAAGATTCTCAGTGTCAGTGTCAAAACACATTATTGTATCATGATCAACTGTGAAGTAGTCTCAAGTAATTTTAAATGATTATTTACATCCTATATAATAAAAGCCTAATATGCAAATTGACCAAACAGCAGAACGACCGGTGGAACGACCTGTCACTATGACACGCACTGACCACCAGGGGGCAGACACTCAACGCAGGAGCTGCCCCCAGCCCGCAGGCCCCAGGCCAGCCAAGCAGAGGGAGGCGACTGGTGGCAGTGTGGGGGACGGGGCTGGCAAGCAGGCAGCACCAGGCCAGCCAAGGCAGGTGCCAGAGGGGTCCCCCCACAGATCATCCCTGATCTCTGGCCAGGCCTAGGGACCCTACCCATGCATGAATTTTGTGCACCAGGCCTCTAGTCCTATATAATAAAGAGCTAATATGCTAATTAGACCAACAGCAGAACGACCATTCGGACAACCTTCCGGAGGAAGCTGGGGTTGCGAGGGCTGAGGCAGTCCAGGCTGTGAGGGCCAAGCCCCTTGCACGAATTTCGTGCATTGGGCCTCTAGTTTTAAAATAAATACCAACCTCACATTTCTGTATGCTCTCTTAAGCTGGAAGGAAGTAGGAGATAGGATATTCACATGAAGGATGTAAAGTCTGTTATATGCTATAGTTGTGTCAAGGCATGTGTTGTTGTAGAGTCCTGAATGGTTTTTCTTTGGGCTGATGGAGTGGAATATATTTGGCTCTGTGGCTAATACATGGTTTTTAATCAGTTAATGCCTTCCTGCTTCCCTTCCTTCTTTAATACTTTTTGGAGCTGGGAAAATAAAAGGTACAAAGGGATAAATTAAGCAAATGGCAAGTCAGAAACAAGTTCATTACTCTTTCTGAAGCTTAGTTTAATGTGAGAACCTAAATTTCAGACTTAAATGCACAATGAGACACTCTTTGAGGATGTTGTAAAGGCAGATATGGGTGTGACTGTTTTCCTTCTAGCAGTCAAAAGATGGTGGTGATGAAGGATTCAGGAATGAAGTTGCCTGACCAAGTCTTTTTTTTTTTTTTAAGGGGAGTGAACAGAAAGATCAAATGTTTACCCAACAACAGTAAATTCATGCTATATATAACTACTTAAGAACTGATGATTCCTAGTAAAAGACATGATAGAAATGCAGGTCTAAAAATCAGCAAGAGGAAGAAGCAGGAAAGTATAGTTTATACTTGATAGCACTTAAAGCCAATATTATGTGCTTTTAAAAGAAGATAAAAAAACAATTTGTGTTATATGTGTATGTAAATGTATTTGTATAAAATCTTGAAAACAAACCAAAGTGTTCATTACTATTAGGATGATGGGAGTTTGAGAGATTTTTATTTTCTTTTATCTGTATTTTTTAACTTTTCTACAAAGGATACATATTACTTAAGTACTCAAAATGCTGTTATTTATTATATATACACACAAATGCATAAAACATTTGTTATCTGTCCTGACTGTAGGTGTGTCTTTGTATTTTCTAGGTGCACCAGAGGCTTTCTTGGCAGAATTTGGGTGTTGCTTATTGCAGTACTGTTGTGCCCTCTGATGGTGAGTTTTGGCAAATCCATTTTTTATGTCTAATGTATTTGTCCCCCTTAAGTCAACTATACTCTTTTACTTAAAATTTGCTTAGAGTCAGAGAAATAAGGAGGGTCCTAAAGAAGAATTAAATTTGAAAGAGGATCTAATGAATTTAGAGGAGAAATCAGTAAGAATGCTTAGAGTCAGAGAAATAAGGAGGGTCCTAAAGAAGAGAAATTAAATTTGAAAGGGGATCTAATGAATTTAGAGGAGAAATCAGTAAGAAAAACTAATAGGCCCATTAAGTTTTCATAGATATGGAATATTACTGTCTAGGTTTTTTCTTTTTCTTTTTTTCTTTTAAACTGGGGATATAGTTAATGTGAAGATCACAGAAGCACTATCTTTGGTATTTCTTAACCATTGGGTCTTCAGATATGGAAAATACTAAAAAATTCCAGCCCCTTTGCGGTATCAGAGCCTACAGGGAAGCAACTGAAAGTCTGAGACCTCCCGCCTCCCTTGTCTTTTTCTTCCCTTAGACTCAAAGTTGTAATACCCTTCTTTGATGTGGAAAAGAATGAACAGATGCTTGAGGACTGTATATGGTCCTTTGTAAATATCTATGATGCTACAAACTGGCAACATGATCTAAGTTTTGGTTGTTTAGAGGAGATATGTTTACTACTCTCTTGGTCATTTCTCTTACCCAATATTGTACATTGACAGTTTAGATTATTTGCTTAGGGTTGACTGTTAAATATATTTCCTCTGTATAAAGTTTAGTTTGATAGAACTCTAATTTCAACCTTATAAGCATTAATTCTGAGGTGGAGCAACCATTGAAAGAGTATCCTGCAAATTTGTAAGGATACCTGAAACTGAAGAAACCCAGATCAACTATAAAACTCCTAGGATCCCCTGTATTTAATCAGTATTGATATTTGCAGTGTTTTCAGAACCCCCTCCCAAAGTTGTTTAGTTATCTGAATATATGTGTTCATTTTTTGCTAAATTATCTAAACTTGGAGGAAATATCCATTTGTGATTACTCATTTGTAATATGAAAAGGTTGAATGGAAAAATAGGCCAGAGTCAAAATCAGGAAAATAGTATCTGGCTTTCTTTATCCTATCTCTTAGAAACATCGAGAACTGACAAAGTAATATCCGTATATAAATTAAAAAGCAGCACTCAACGCTTTGTTACAGCTGAGGACAGGTAGGTATGTTGACCCCAGTCAAAACTCAGTATGTAGAGGCCAGTTTTTCCCACATGGCCAAAAGGCAGTGGACCATAATGCCACCTCCCCATGCCACCTACTTTGTTTCTTCCTTGAGCCCCTCCAAAACAGTGAATAGCTATCACTCTTAACCCTCACACTGTCTTGGCCCATTAAACATCCAAATGGGTGCTGTCCACATCTATGCCAGCACCACTCCCAGGTCCTATTACCTTCATTACCACTACAGGATAATAGCATTAGATAGTTTCAATAAAGAGAGGATTTCTCTCAATGTGTAAAATATTGTTCATAATATTGAATCTTCTCAGCTTTTGCTGAACTAAAAGCATTTCATTCAGAATTGTCTAGGTATAATGATATTGTCTGACATTGTTATCTATGTCAGTATATATTAATATGTATTCCATAAGTTATGTATATTCAATATCAATTAAGTTATACTACAGTGGGACAGTCATCTGCCAATGGTTAAGATATTCAGAGGCAATTAACTTAAACTAATGAATTTATATTGAAATTTATATTATTAATTTTACCACTTAGTGGAGTTACTATTATTATCCTATATACCAATCTGTATGGAAGTATTTCAGTAATACAACAGTGGTACAGTTGTACTGCATGTTATCCCAGGACATAAATACTAGTAGATTTCTCTATGTTGCATGAGGGGTTGAAGGTAATATTTTTCAAAAGCTAAAAGGATACATATTTTTAAAAAGAGTGACTTCTACATTTCCTACCAATAAGAAAATAACTCATGTTAGTTATCAAGAAGTAGAAGCACAAAAGTATTTTTTTTAATGCAACTCAGTGTTCTTACTACCACCAAATTATACAACATTCTTATTTTGTACTTCTTAATTTTACCTTAGGTCAATATAGCATATGAAAAAACTCTGCTATTAATACACAGTGACTTTAATAGAGTTTAGCCACCAGTAATTAACAGCTCTACTATCATTCACTGCTCTGTGTTGTAACTGCTGGGTCTTCTTTTTTTTTTGTCCTTAATCCTCACCCAAGGATATTTTTCCATTGATTTTTTTTTTTTTTTTTTTTAGAGAGAGTGGAAGAGAGGGGGAGAGACAGAGAGAAACATTGATATGAGAGAGACACATTGATTTGTTGCCTCCCGCACACGCTTTGACCAGGGGATTAAGCCTGCAACTTAGTTACGTGCCCTTGACTGGAATCGAACCCGAGACCCTTCAGTCCTCGAGCCAATGCTCTATCCACTGAGCCAAACTGTCTAGGGCTGCTGGGTCAAATTCTATTATCAAATGAGGGCTTGACCCTAATGTTTTAAAAGTACAAAATCTAAAATACCACATTACGTAATTATGGTATTTATATACCTAGTATATATACCTAATATTTACTGCCCCTTAGTAATTGCTTATTAATATGTTGTTTGGCAAATCTTCTATTATGGCAATGATAGCTGATATAAAATATATAGATTATCTTAAATGTCTAACCTTCCTCCCAAAGCAATCTAAAAGGTTCTTATTTTTTGTATGTGCCATAAATTTTTTGAGGATCTGGTGTAGGCTCTAGATTCTTTCTCTAGAAAATTTATATATACACTTAGGAAATTTTACATATAATTTCTTAGTGACCAGACTACCTTAAACCAATTCATAGAATCCCTAGTCTCATGGACCTGAACTCAAGAACTTCTTTGGACACATTGCACAGGTACACATGCACATACCTGTACCCACAATCATGTTCCCTTTCAGGGGAGGATTATGCTTAGAGGTAAGAGAAGAGCTTTGGAGTCAAACAGAGCTGGGTTTACATCTCACTTCCACCATTTAACCACCTTGTAACCTTAGGAAAGGTAATTAACTTCTCTAAAGTCTTTTCCTATCTGAGATAGTATTATTTACCACCTCCAAGAGAAAAGTGCACTTAGCCTGCAGAAAGAGTACTTACCCACCAGAAACTCTTTTTCCTTAAAGGGTGGTTGTGGTAGTGTTACAGACCGCTAATCTAAAAAATGTGGTTTGGAATTCTCATTTTAATTTCTCTGTGCCCCAGATCCTCAAATGTAAAATGGCGCACTGTGAAATGTTTACGTGATTAGCCTTTAGGGCAGTGGTTCTCAACCTGTGGGTCGCGACCCCTTTGGGGGTCTAACGACCCTTTCACAGGGGTTGCCTAAATACGTCCTGCATATCAGATATTTGCATTACGATTCATAACAGTAGCAAAATTACAGTTATGAAGTAGCAATGAAAATAATTTTATGGTTGGGGGTCACCACAACATGAGGGACTGTATTAAAGGGTCGCAGCATTACGAAGGTTGAGAACTACTGCTTTAAGGGTTCCCTTTCTTATTAATGGAAGTAACGAATGAGAGTAATTCCCCTATATACAGGGTTAGTATATAATTTATCATCCAACCGAGGGCACTTTTGAGAGTGAAAAGGGACAACCAGAGTTGTCCTGACAATTTTTAGTAGCGTAAGTCAGGACATATCTTCACCTTAGCTACAGAGAAAATGCCAAAGGTGAACTATAGTAAGAGCAAGGAAGAATAGCCTCTTGTAGCTGCCTTCATTTCTCTATACAGAAACGTAATGCTACTCAGTTCTGTATTGAATTGTGGTAGAGAGTTGTGTTTATTTTGTATTTAACAAAAAATATAAGAATTCTTTTAAAAAATTGTTTGAAGGCAAATAATTTTAGCAATGAAGGGTTATTGGAAATTCCTGTTTAATAATAAACAATCAACTATTTAATCAATCCAAGTATGGATGATCTTATAAATTCTTAACCTAAGGTCTATGGATAGTTTGGGGAATAGATACCTATCCCAGTTTTTTTCTTTGGTTTTTGTCCCATTACTGTTTTTAAAAAGCTTTATTGAGATATATGTTACATACCATAAAAGTCACCTATCACTGTGTAAGCCTCATAAGAATCCAGCTATAGACGATGTGCTTCACCCCTAAAAGTTCCTTTGTTTCTGTTTTGCAGTCAATCCCTGCTCCCACCTTAAGTCCCAGGCAACCACTAATATACTTTCTGTCTCTATAGTTAAACCTTTTCTAAAAATGTCATATAAATGGATTCATACAAAATGTAGTCTTTTGCATCTAGCTTCTTTTACATATTAATGCTTTTGAGCTTTATCCATATTGTAGCACGTATTGTAGTTCTTTATATTGCTGAGTACATGGAAATATCACATTTTGTTTATTCACTTACCAAAAGAAAAAACATTTAAATTGTTTGCTATAATGTTGCTATCAACATTTGCTTATAATCTTTGTGTGGACATATGTTTTCATTTCTCTGGGTAGATACTTAGGAATGGAATGGCTGGGTCATATGGTAAGTATATACTTAACTCTTTGGTATATTATAAAACTGTTTTCCAAAGTGGCTGTACCACATTACATTCCCAACAACAATGTATAAGTGTCCCAGTTTCCCCATATCCTCCCCAACACTTGGTATGGTTGATCTTCTTAATCATAGGCATTCTAGTGGGTTGTTTTCCTTGTGGTTCTAATTTACATTTCACGGATGACTAATAAGCATCTTTTAAGGTTTTTATTAACCATTCAAATATTTTTGTTGGTAAAGTATCCAAATTTTTTGCCCATTCAAAAAAATTACTATTGTCTTAGTATTGATTTGTAAGAATTCTTTATATTTTCTAGAGTTTTTCCTGTTACTTTTGAAATCATTTTAGAAGAAAGAGAAGACGATTTTTGAGTCATGCTGTGTTACTAATGGTCACACTCTTGTACACAGTTGTAAAT